AATACAGACACTACTCCTGTCTGGTGAGTTGCTTAGCTTGCCTTTGGCATCAGTTTTCAATACCTGTGCGAAAAGACCATCTACTTGGCAAGATGGAGGTAGAGAATGAAATCCTAGTTCATGATATTGGCACACAGTAGGTACAAGATAACTGCCAGTATTTCTTCCAAGATGGAAAAGCTTCTAAATGACAGCACAGAGTAGAATAGTTGTGTGTTATCCAGACAAATCCATGGCAGTGTTGACAAAGCACAGAACTCCTGAGACAATCATGTACAAAGCCTTCCTCCCCCAGTATGCAAATACATACTCCCCTTTCCTATCTGATAAGCCAAGGACAAATTCAAGTGTTTTTCTAGAAAGATAGAAGTAAAAGTCTCAGAGTTCTCTTTGGAGCAGCAGCTCCCATCAACCAGTAGCTATGGGTGCTCAAAATTGGAGTGCCTGGTGTATTGGGAGAGGTAGCTGTGTTCTCTCCAGAAGTTTGGGGCATTTGTTTCTGTTACCTAAAGAGTGGAGGAAAATGATGTCAGCAGGTAGAAGGGAATGTCATCTTTGTAGTCACTCATTTCTGCTACAGGATTTGGGGATGCCTCGGATGGGATGATGGCCTTTGCAGGGGGTCAGCATTTTATGGGTATATCTGTTCTTGAATCTTCCCCAAGAATATTGGTGAAGAGGTCCCTGGAAAGGAACTGAGTCAAAAGAAGCAGATTCAGCAAGCTGTTTGATCAAATGTCAAGCATGCTACATGCTAAGTGAAGCAGTTTTGCCTTACTGAGGATGCTGTGGTCCCAAGGAAGGAAAGCAGGCAACTCAGTGAAGGCTAGTGTCAAGTTACAAGCACCTATACTCCCAGGGACAGGAACAGGCAGCTCTGAGAAAGATCAAGTGCCCCAGGACTAGGTTGGTTTCCTATAATTTGGGGAAGTGGTTAAGTGTTGCCTAACAGGGTTTTCTGCCTATTAAATAGTGTGTCAAGAGGGGAAGTTTTTAAACTTGCATCATTTTAGCCAGAGTGAACATGGTAACCATCCCTCCCTGCAAGGGAGATCAAAACCATCATGCAAATGTATGCAAATGAGGTCTAGTTGGGTCAAGTAGGGTCTAATGGTTCTACATGGGGCCTGTGTCCTCTGTGTAGACATGTGCAGACCTCAGGTTCATGTAACTGCCAATGGAGTACCTGGAAGGGGCTGGACAAACCCTCTCAGGAAGCTGTGCACTCACAAGCTCATCCTCTAACCCTATCTTATTTCTAGCTAACTCCTTACTGTATCAAAATTTCCTCCTTTGTGTTCTCTTGTTTGCAGAAGGAAAATTAAGAACTTATCTCTGTCCTTAATTCCAGAATGGCTGCTTCTGTGAGTCTTGAATTGTTCTCTACCAAAACCTTATTACTGGGATAGTGAAGGGAACCTAGTCTGTATGTATCTCTTTTGCCCAGAGTGTGATGCCCAGATTCTCACCGCTCTATTTTTTTTTTTTTTCAATCGGTACTGGGGATTGAACTCACAGCTGCCTGCTTGCAAGGCAGGTGCTTATGCCGCTGAGCTAAATCCCCAGCCCCATCACTGCTCTATTTCATTGCCCTCAGACATCCAGAAAGATTCCCTGTCCCTAGTCAGTCCTGTGTCCAGAACTGCTCACAGTGTGGGTGTGGAGTGCAGACAGCTCATGACACTGACTAAAATACAGCTGAGCTGTTTCCTGTACTCTTTCCCCAGGCTTGAGGTTGCTAGCTTGGGGGTTGTCATTTCCTCATATCTCCTGGACAGTTCCCCAACATTATATACACAGTGAAGGAGGACAAAGGGAATGTAGAGTTGCTACACCATCTACCTGTCACCCCCCTTGCATCAAGGAAATTAAAAGCCTATGATTTAACTGAGAAGACCTCCTTCTAGTTACAGTGAACTTCTGTTTCCTTCGTTAGAACCAGGCCAAGTGTCCATCCTTAGGTGTAAGGAACCTGGAAAGGTGGGGAACAGAATAATCCAAATTAGCTTAGACAGACCGACTACTGGAAACTGCCTTGAACTAAAGTGGCATTTATTTAGCCAAAAGTGGAGTGTAAGCACATGTCCCTGGCAGGAACCTCAGGGCCCATGGAGTTTTCCCACTGGTGACCCCATACTTGGCTTCCCTCCAGTCTACTGTCCATTGTCTGTTTCTGCACTTGGATATCAATGATCATTTTTGCTTGGTGTGAATGGTGATATTCTTGGAAGGAAGCTGAGAGCCATCCAGGTATGGGAACTACTGTGCCTCAGGGACAGTCATGCTGAATAATGACTTGTGTGTTGTTCCTTCAGCTCTGGGATGCCAGCTCCCTATGGAGGGGTCCTCACCCAAACTGAGGTTGGAGGGAACAAGGCTCTGGAATCCTTCAAAGCTCAATAGAGTCTCAAATCCAAGAGAGAGCATCTTGTAGCAAGGGATTAAAACAATGTCACACAGCTGTGAAGCTATCTGCCCTTTTTTGTTTGGAGTCTGTCCCACAGTCAGCCCACTGGTGGCTGGAAGGCAGGCAATGTGTTATCCATTTCTGTGTCCCTGGAATGAAGTCTGTGCTTAGAGCTTTTCTGGATCTCAGTAAAATATTTCAGTTTGATAAAGAGTGAATGTGGAAATAAACAGATGGGTTACCCAGGATGCAGAGGTATCTTGGTCACCAGGAATTAGAAGATGGTTGAGAGGAGTCTGAGTGTAGAGCCGACCTTCCTGCCAAGCAAGTGTGCCCTAGGACCCTGGCCCTTCTGTGGGGAAATCTGGCTGAGGAGGTATTTTGGGAGCCATTTATCCTGATCGAACAAAGTGAGCTAGAAATCACCCTTTGAGCCTTTTGAATGTTGAGGCTTAGTGATGGCCCCCGCCCCAAAATTTTGCAGTTGTTTTGGGAATGAGTTCTTAAAGCAGTATGGCAAGTTCTACGTTCTTCAAGAAGACCATCCCTCTTTTCTGTGTGTGGTCTTCAGATTGACCTTGAACCAGGTCCTCCGTTGGGATATTTGCCTGTGTGACTCAGTGGTGCAGCTTCTTCTGAGCTCTGGCTGTCAGTCTCCAGAGGTTTCCTCACCATCTTGGATAGACCCCTGCTAGTCACTTCCTCTTGTATTTTAAACTCAGTTAAATGGCAGGCGTCTCCAGGCAGGCTGCCAGAGTTAAAGCTATTGATCCTGCAGCTGCCGCGGTTCCAGGGTGGAGCTGTCTAAATATTGCCCAGTGCCTGCACCCTCTCATATTTCACACTAGACGGACAGCTTGACGCTGTTTCCAAAATAGCCCCTGCCACGGGCTTGTCAGACCTGCTGATGCCTTTTAAGATAAACATTAAAAATACCTCTTCCCAAATCGGGAACCATCTCATTTTTCCTGCTGATGAGTTAGGAGTGGCCCTGTGGTCCCATGCTGAAATGTTTGTGCCCCTAGACAGGGGAAACAGTCTTTGCATACAGAATTGATGCAGTGGTTAAGACAGCTCTGTGATTCTGTGTGAGGAAAATAATCACAGAGGAGACAAACATATCTTCCCGGGGAGGTTGAACTCTTGCCAACTGACTTCAGGACCAGACTTGAGAAGGGGAATCCTTGCCTCAGTTCCAGGATTCTCATGGGATTGATCTTGCCCTACCCCCAAAGCAGCCCCGCCACAGGTTTGTGTTCAAGATCTTCCTGCCAGGATGCTTATGTGGAGACAACTCAGGGACCCCTCCCTGTCTCTGCCATTCAGCTGTTAGTCCTAGAGCCACTGAATGGGTCCAGGGTTTTGAAGTTCAGAGCTAGGGCTCATTCATTCTTACAGACTTAGACCCAAACAGTTCTGTTTTTTAAAAAGTAAGGTTTTAAGATAAGATACTTCTATAACATAGTAGCATCTTACATAAAAAATACAAAATTCCTCCAGCTTCCTCTATCTAGGGGCATAAACATGGCAGCACGGGACCACAAGCCCATGCCTAACCCATCATCAGAGAGGGGTCAGGTATTTTGTTGCAAGTTAAATGAAAAATCTGTAGAGGTTTAAACCCGTAGTCAGCTGGCTCCAACTCAGGGTAGCATGGCAGAGAGACATTGCAGAAGTCAGTTTCAGTAGAAACAGTCCATGACATAGCAGGAAGCAAAGTGTGCCATCAAGGGAGAAAGATGGAGGTCTGTGTATCTCCAGGCCACACCCATAGCGACTCACCTCTTCCTGTCAGGCTTCACCTACTAACATCATACCCAGCTCTAAATCCATCAGTGGAGTAACCCAGTATCCATGATCTAGTCATTTCCCAAAAGCCTCACCTCAGTGCATGAGGCTTTGGTGGTGGTGGTGGTGGGGGGGCATTTGGATATAAACTGCAACCGGGAGGATGACTATTTCTTTGGTGTGACTTGTTCCAGTGCTTTTGTGCAACTGAGAACTGGTGCTCCTTCTGACATATGCATTCTGGTGACTTAAGGAATGCTTCTCAGGTTTGCCTCAGACACTCCATTGTCCAGTTTTGTGAAGACTCCCTACTACTCTCTCAAAATTTCTTACGTGTATTTCCTTACCTTCATACATGAGGATTCCTCATCTGTATGGAAGGTATTGCTGGTTCTCTTTCACTGTTCCCATAAGAAAAGCCTCTCGGGGAAAGGCTTCCTGTCTTTGACAGGTAGGTGACCCACCTGTGCCCTGAGTCCCTAGCAACTGGCCACATCTGTAATTTATTACACTGTGTTGTGAATTTTGGTTTTCATGTCTGGCTTCTTCTAGTGGATGAGGATATGTGTCCTTTGGAGATGAGGACAATGCTTTGTTCTTATTTTATCTCAGGACAGGGCAAAGGGTTTGCAGGTTGATGTTAAATGAGGACAGGAGTAAACAAAAGCATTAGTAGAGATACTGGCTGTCATACTGGCGCTTCTTGGTGCTGGAGGTGTGGTGGGCTGTGTTTCTTGTCATATGTCACAGTGTGTCCGTGGGCCACGTTTTCTCACCAGCTTCTGTTTCTGCTTGCTTTCCTCAGATGTGCTCTGTCCGAGTGTCCGTGTAGAAGGAAATCGTTTGGATCACACCAATGGAGAAACCAAGGAAATTACAGGTAAGAGGCACCGCCTACTTGCTGAACCTAAGTACCACACTTAGCAATCTAGGGTCCCTCCTGACCTTCGCTCTCATCATCCTGCAGCACCTCAGTAGTGCAGGCGGCAGCCATCAGCCTCACAGTATAGAATCTCCTCTGCCTTTCCTTTGTCAGGCATTGGTGGATCTTTTATAGGAGTCACTAAATAGAGTACCCAAGTGAACACATTTATAAAGGAGGTGGTGAGAGAACAAGCAAAAGCTTCAAAAGGAGCAAAATCATTAATAATGAAGGCACCTGGGAGCAAGGGGAGAATGAATCCACAGCAGGAAAGCAGAGTCACACCGTAGCTGAGCCACAGCAAGAGAGTTGCCATGGCAATGCTGCAGACGCTGTACATGAATAGGAAAGAGCAGAGTGGGGTTGCTGAGTGTGTGTCCCTGGTTGGTGCTGGCACTGACTAGTCTTCCCTGTAGTCAGACTGCTGCTATGCTCTTAAAGTGCAGTTTCTTCTCCTTCTATGCCAAGGATCTCAGCCTTGTTCTTCTTAGTGACCACTGCTGGCCCAGCTCTGACCAAGTGCTTATCACGTATCCAAGCCAGAGAGCCTCATGAGGTCAGTATGAGTCACTGGGCAGACACAGCCATGTCACTGTGTCCCAAAACATGAGGATGGCAGCATCTGCATCTGGGAGCCTTACAAAGTTTTCTACAATGTTAGGAGGCTATCATGCCTGTGTGTACAGTGGGAAGAGTGGGCCAGGGAGCTGACACCCCTAGGAGCAGCCCCAGCCAGAGACTTGTTATAGAAGCCTCATAGCTCTACTGGTGTAGGCAGGTTTATTCTCAGGTCCATGTGACAGCTCATTTCCTAAGATTTCTTAAAATTTCTGCACAGTGACCCTGATCATCAGCAGTGGGTGTGTTTTCCCACCTTGAGCAGTGAAGGGACCATGGAGGCAATGGAGAAGACAGATTCAGAACTTTCCCCCAGAGGCTGCCTTCAGAGTCGGGATACATAGCACTTTCCTGTCCTTATACCTACTCTGTGGATGATACAGTTAGTAGAAACAAAAGTTTCTCTCCCTTTGGTACTGCTGTATGAATTCAACACCCTGTGCCTCTCAGCCCAGACATGTAGCATCCCTGTAAGTAGTGTGTCACCTTCTCCTCACACTGTCCTGTTCCCTTCCCTGCATCAATAACTGACTTCCTTGAATTTCTTGGCTTTTAGAATCCTTGTGTTCCTCAGCCCTTTCCAAAGCATTCTGTCTCTTTGGTCCTAGCATATTCTCAAGGCCCTTGGGTTGCTTTGTGGTCCTTAAAGGTGCAGTGCTCCCCTTAGCTGATGGAGTTTCCTCTGCTTAGTGTTTCCATTCCCATTTTATCACCACCCTGAGCTCCTACTCACCCTTCCAAGTCCAACTGAACAGTCACCTCTGAGAAATCATTTCAGGCCCCAATAGGGCCACTAACTGCTCTTTTTACATTTCATTCTATCCTGGGAACTCCAGTCAGGAGACGGGACAATTATTTGCTTTCTTCTCTACCTCCATAGCAAGCATATAAGCTGTTTGAGAGGAGGGCCTGTTTTATTTTGAAGTTCCTCTCTGTGTCCGAAGGGCGTGGAGCAGTACCTGGCACTTAGAAGGAGTTCAGTAAACTCTGAATGAATGGGCACATGAACGAAATAAATGAAAGGAGGAAGCCTGATGTAAAGTGTGTGTGGGTGAATGGACAGTAGGATGAATGGATGGGAAAGTTAGAAAGCAGATGACACTAAGGGTGAGAAGGAAGGAATGGAAGGGAGCAAAGGTAAGAGAGGAAGGGGAAAAGGAAGACAGATGAACAAACGAGTCTGCTTGTGTCAGCTCTAATTTAAAATGAGCTTAAAACATCCCTGCCATTCTACAGACTGAATAGCAAGAAGGAACAGTTGATTCTTGTTGGGAAGAATGGGAAAGAATGTTCGTGTGCTCATGTGTGCACTTGTGCATGTACATGTCTGTGATGTGCTCAGGTGTGCAAAGCTGTGTCTATGTACACATGCATGTGTGAATATACAGAACATTGCACAAATATTTTAGCCCATGGCCTATAAGTAGAATCCTGCTGGGAAGCCAACTTAGTGACTGAATAGATGCAGGGCCCTCTGTTATGCATCCTCTTGGGTCTGTGGGATCCTAAAGCTTTCTTCCCTCTGTGGGAGCTCCCTGGAGTTGAATGACTGACAGGTGAGCCTCCAGCCCCATGTGGAGCAGACGCCCTGTTTGCATAGCTCTATGTGCACAGAGAACCTACTTTGTCTGCAGTCTATTCCCTGGTATCTTATTCCAGCCATGCTGAGGCTAAAGAGGGAGTTACAGAAAGAGATGAGCCTCAGACTTGCCAACTTTAAAGCCCTTGGGTAGTCACAGAAGCTATTATATTCAGGGAAAGGTGCACCTCCCTAAAGCTTCACCTCTATGCAGTACTTAAAATGACATGGGCTACTTTTTCGGGCTTATCCGCTGGAATAAGGAAGACAGAGACAAGAATAGACAAATAGAGCAGGAGATCTTAGAAAGATCTGCTGCTTGCCAGTCAGGTGGCAGACCACTCTGAGCCTTAGTTTCCCCATCTCTGCAATTAGATCTGACTGGTATCTCTGAGGGTCCCTTTCAGCTTTCATGGTCCTCTTTCAAATTTGCAACCGCTGAACATGTTGTAAAACTGTCCTGAAACTTAGTTCTTGGCATTTAAAAAATATGTTGTTATGCAGGTCTGGGATTTGGCCTGGGATTCTTTCTCTTCCCACCTGGACCCTCACATCCAGATGTTAAAGCCCTGCCTGTCATGGTTTAGATCAAGAATGTGCACTGCAGTTACTTAGCAGGATCCCATCTCAAAATAAAGAATAAGATCAGGAAAAGGGCTGGGAATGGAGCTCAGTGTAAAGGCCCAGGGTTCAGTCTCCAGTATCAGAAAATAGAAATAGAGAAATATATATATAAATATTATATTATTATAATATATATATATATATATATATATATATATATATATATATGGAGAGAGACAGATAGGCAGAGACAGAGAGAGAGGAAGAAGAGGGTGAAGGCAGGGATGGAAAATGGGAAAAAAGAAGAGGTAAGATGTATCAAGTACAGGCACAAATTCCCTAGGTTGAATATCTAAAATGTACCAATAAAAAATTCTTTTAAAGTTAAAAAAAAAAAAAAAAAACAAGAGGAGAAGGAGTGGAAGAGTGGAAGAGCTCTGCTTGGAGCCAGAGACAGGAGTGTCTCCCTCTTCCTTCTCCGAGGCGCTCCTGTAGACCAGGGTTACCCAGGCTGCAGAGTGGGCTAGGCAAGGGGCTGGGTGGTTGCAGCGCCACCTATGGGACTCGATGTCCCAGGCACCTGTTCCGCTGCAAGGTTCCAGGCTGTGCCCTAGTGCCAGGAGCCCTGGAGCTGCAGGATGGTGGTGCTCTCACTGGGGCCCCTGTGCTAGCAGGAGCGGTGGTGACCGGAGTTTAAAAAAAAAAAGGATTAAACAAACCAGAATGTCCCCTACCGGCCTCAGGAGGTCGTAAGTGGGCCTTTGAAAGGTGACTGTATCATGAGGCTTATATAACTGATTCGCTGTTAGGAGGTTGGGAGGCAGGGTCTGATGCAAAGAGACAGTTCACTAGGGCATGACCTGGAAGGGTGTCCTTTCCTCCCTAGATCCTCCCCAATCTCTATTTGTTCTGGCCACCATGGTGTGAGCAGATCTCCTCCACCCCACCCTCCCTCTGTGCTGTTTCCATGTGTAAGCACAATGAACATCAACTGAAATGTGTGAAACTATCAACCAAAATAAACTTTCTCACCTTTAAGTCACAAGTGACCTGTATTTTGCCCCAGCGATGAGCAAAGTGCTGAGACGTTGCCCACTGTATTGCCTACAAAGTGCTACAATTCAAGTGCGTTTTCTGTCCCTCCTCTCACCTCTCAGCACATTGCTCCTCCATCGTCTCTGTGCTGCTTTCCAAGCATACCTTAAAGCAAAGGAGACTGGACTGATTTTCTCCCTGTGATAGAGCTCTCTGGGGTTCTTTCTTGTCTGCAGAAAGGAACTGAAACTTCTCCACTGGCCGTCAAAGCCAGCCTGTGTACCTCATTCCCAGGCAGTGTCCCCTTTTGCTGTTATTCTTAATGTCTGAATAGCCAAGATCCCTGTTGATTATTGGATTCTGAGCAGCCAGGCTGGCATGTAACACACAGACAGCCCTTAATGATGGGTTGCTGAATTCTTTCCTTCTTTCCTTCTCTGTTTCCATAGTAGTGCCTCCGAAGGAACAACAAAAGCACCAGACTTTCAAAATTGGTTCTAAATCAATACAGGCTAATTGCACACATTTTGGAGTATAATGTGTTTGATGATGAATACAGAATGTCATGATTAGTTCAGGGTGCTCTGCATAGCCATTAAACGTTTATCATTCGTTTGTGCTGGGAACATTCAGACCTCTTCTAGCTACTTGCACATATCTACAATAAGTTATCGTTAACTGCAGTGAGACCTCGGTACTCCATTGCTGTGAAACTCATCAAATTTGGTACTCAACACATCTTGACACGAATAGTTTGGCCTGTATTACTCATGCTTTGCTTGTACTCAGTGTGCAAGTCAGTGTCAATTACCTTACAACCTCTACCCCGTTCCAGTCAAAATGACTTATTTTGCCTATATCTCCTGGAGCCAGAGGACAACCAGTTCCGTGCACCCACATGTAGTTAAAGGACAAAAGGAGTGGTGATGAGGAACCTGAGAAAGGGGAACTTTTGCTCCCCAGTGGTGGGAATGTGAGTTAGTGCAGCTGTTCTGAAGAGCAGTTTGAATGCTCCTCAAAACACTAATAGTGGACCTAATGTATGAACCAGTAACCTCACTACTGAGTGTGTCTGTATCCAAAGGAAAGGACCGCAGTGTGTTACCCGACTGCTAAGGTTAAGGAAATAAATGCCATCTGGCCTCTTCCCGTCCCACGGCTCCATCTAGTGAGCCAGTGCATCTGGCGCTACCCGTGTCTCCATGGTTCAGCCAACTCCAGGGCTGCACTGAGGTGCCCCTTGTCCTTTCTGAGTTAATCAACTGTGGTTTTATCCCATGACACCTTGCATCATCATCCGTTCATCTCGGGAATGTTTTTCCTTTTCTGACTCTGATTCATTCCTGGGGATTTATCTTTTTTTCTTGGTACCCTTTGCTGCTTCTAGTTAACTGTTTGCTGTTTAAAATTTTGTAATATTCAGGGTTTTGCTTTTTATCACTAAAACCGGTTCAAGCAGAACCACAGCACAGAGCATGCTTGCTTTTCACCTGCTTCTCACTGCTGGCCAAGGCAGCCCATTGTAGTGACAGCAGGTGAGGAACAGGCTGGCTCCAGTGCTCTGATCTCTGATTTGTGACTCCTGATTTAGGATGTGATCTGGGCTCTCACCACTCCCTTTGGAGAGTGGGGCACTTGTTCAGGCCCCCTTGAGCCTCTCTTGAGGGAGAACCGAACTTCCTGCAACCATCCCCACCTCCACTCCCAGAGGCTGTGCTGTGGGCACCCTTGGGCAGCCTGTGAAGCAGCCACGTCAGGCCCTGTGCAGAGCAGAAGCAGATTGGAAGGCTGGGGCCTCTCAGCAGAGCCATGGATACTGAGTGTGAGTGCAGGTCAGGGGCTGGAGTCTGAAGTTGAGGGTAAACTGGAGTTGCCCCCAAGCTGTCCACCCCAGCTCACTCTGGTGATGCCTGGAACCCTCCTCTCTCCACACGGCAAAAACTCCTGTTGGAGGGCACACCCTCACCCCTGGCACCACCAAGATATCTACCATACCGCTCACCAGGGCTAGGCAAGCTACAAAGACCATTTCTGCCTAGTTTGCCTTTTTATGGAACAAAATCAGGTCCTATCAAGCTCAGTGCCCCTTATCTACTGGCATTGGTCCTTAGAGCCCAGAACCTCAGGGCTTTCCAGGGATTTCTGGGTCTATCTTCCCATCCCCTCCCACCCTCCCCCTGCCCAGAGCTTCCCAGTACCATGGGTACATTCCAGTTTCAGGCACATGGAAGCTTTCTGAGTTGTGGAAGGTCCTTGTTGTCTGGGCCACAGCAAGACCCAAACATTGCTCCAGGCCAGGCCTGATGCAGGCCCAGCGCTGCAGGCACCCCCTGCCACTGACTGCATGTGCTGTGTGGACCTCAGTTCCGGGGACACCAAGTCCTCCTTGCTCTAAGTGGGCTGGGGGCTGTTCCAGGCTATGCAGCTCAAGATGTAGGGAGAGCTTCTGTCTGTGTTATTCAGTGAGTGTCTCCCTCACCCTGGTGCCTCTGGCTTCCACAGCCCAGGCATCCCTCAGGGAGTTCTCAGGACTCCTGCCTTTGGGGAGTTGGCTGCTCTGGATGTTTTTCTTGCTTAGAGCCTGGCTCGATAGCCTGAGTGGCAGTGATGCTCTGGAAGAAGTGGCAGAGCTGTCACCAGGATATAAGGTACTCGTATCAGGGAATTCTTCTGAGAATGAGTCTCCAAATTTCCTCTGGACTCCTCAGGGAGAGCTGGTAGCATCACCTGAACAATTCTTAGGTGCTGGCTCCTACAAGGGCACTGTATTATATCATCACCTTAAATATCATCAAAGACTTGCAGGGAATTACACGCTCCAATTTTCCAGTTAAGAAACTGGGCTTACTAAAATCAGATGATGTCTTCAGAGCCACCGAGCTCTGAGTCTGTGGGTTTGCAGTGGTGCCTTGGCCTCTGTGGAATGTGACAGGTACCTGCTTCATGTTCTTCTCTTATCTGTGGTCCAGTTCTTTGGCACAAGTGGAAAGAAGCTGCCCTCTACCCTGCCAGAAGCTCTAGAATATTTGAGAATGTTTTCTCAGAGCTCTTTACAGGACAGGGGAGTGGTAGCACCCTAATTCAAGGCCAGGAGCTGAGGACTTCCTGCTTTTAGTGAACACACACTATGTTCCAGGCAGTACTAAGGCTGGCACATAACTCAGCGCTGCTTAGCATGACTGAGGCCTGGAAGCCAATCCCCAGCACTGCAGAAAAAAGACAAAGCTCTAAGTGATCTTCTAAGGTATCATTCCCCATTCTTTGTACAACATGGGTGGCACACTGGAACACTGCCAGGCAGGGGACTCCAAGGGGGAACCCAGAGTGCCGACTCAGTTTTCCATTTGGTGCATGAGAAATGAGGCAGCAAGGCTGAGTGGTTTACCTGACCACTAGCAGGTGGGGAAGTGTGGGAACAGGGGTCCCAGGGCCCTATATCCCCTACTGCCTAAGGGGCTTGTGATCCTGATCTTATGAAAATGCAGAGGAGACAACCTTGGATCAGGGAGCAGACTCCTGCCAGAGAGAAGCACCATTCATTGCTTCAGCTCTGCTCACTGAAAGTTGGTGCTGTCTCTGTCCTGAATTCCCAGAGTGGCATCTAGCATCTGTCTAGCAGCTTCTCTATCTTCTAGTTCTTCTACTGAGACCTGGTTCCCAAGAGCTTGCTCTGTCTCCTTGCCACCTTCCCAGAGTACTCAGTTACAACATATAGCAGCCCTCAGCCCCGTGTGTGGCAGGAATGCATCACATCTATGGCTAGAATTTAGTTGAATAGGGTGTTCTGATCATTACAATGAGAAAATACTCCATATATAAGCTGTTGATTGTTTACTCGATGAAGTATGATAAAAAAACAGTGAATGTGTAAATTTAAAAATAAAATCACAGTAGAAGACACATTGCCATTGTGTGCCTCAGTCTACTCCCCTTTCCTGCAAACACAGGTATCCCTCACTCTTGCCACTTTCTGAAACAGTTCCAGATGTCTTCTTTCTGGGACGTCTTTAGTTGTACAGTCCTGGATGCCTTGATGTCCAAAATTGATTCAAAGCATTCAACTTCTGCTATCATTTTGACTTTGCAGAAGAGCTAGAAGTTGCACAGCCCCAGGCGTGGTCAATATGTCAGCTCTCAGGACCAGCTCAGCCCACAGCCCACTCCACCCACATACTTTTTCTCTGCCATTGTCAAAGCATCCATGATGGGGATATGGGGGTGCTACTGGTGGTAAATAACTCCTAGGAAGCCTGGCTTTCTGTGTGTCATTCCACTTGCTGAGTGGTGCATATTAATGTCCCTTATAATCTCGGCAGCCCTGTCTTTTAGGCACTTTTACTCTCTCTATACAAGCAAGGCCTTCTACATACACACCATGACTGAGCAGAGTTAAACCCCATCCCTTGCCCTTACCACAGTCCAGGTCCAAAGCCCATCACCAGTTCATACTTTGTCATTGACAGTGTCTCTCAGGCCCTCTCTTGTGGGAAAACCAAACAAAACATAAATTCCTCTCATTAACACAATGCCATCAAGATGGTTTTCTTCCTTCTGATGTTTCTTTCTTTCAAGTTAGGCAACTTCAAACTTGCCATGTTCTGAAGAATCCAAGCAAAATCCAGATGCAAGGCAAACATGTGGATGTAGGAAGGAAAACCCTAAGTTGAGATTTGCCTTCAGAGCCAGGGCACCATTTGAGCTTTTGGAACACCACAGTCCCCATGAAGGAGACAGTCAGGGCACCTGCCATGTGTGCTGTGCTTGACTGGGATTCGGGATGTTTTCAGTGTCCCTGATCAGTGGGAAAAGCAGCCCTTTCCCTGGAGAGGAGTCAAATCTGTATTTATTGTTTATGCCTGTTGTTTATTTTCTTCCTGGATTTGTAAGGGCTGATCACAAAATAGTGTGTGTCTAATTTAAAAATTTACAGTAAATGACATATTGCCATTAATTCTCCTCAAAACACGATTTTCACTTGACCATACTTACCCTACTGTTCTCGCCACTTTCTGAAGCAGTTTTGCAGGCTCTCTCCCATGAACCTTACACCTTTGTGAATATGGTGAACGCTGCTGCCAAGCTGCACTCAGCAGGAAGGCAGGCTTGTAAACCCCGTATAGGGAGTCCTTAGCCACCCTCACTATAGCTGGCACTGTGCAACTTCCGGCTCTACCCAGAATCAAAATGACCGTGAGAGATAATATTTTAAATTGATTCAGGACATCTAGATCACCACAGCAGCTCAAGTAAAGACACAAACAAGGACTTCCAAAACTGCTTCAGAAAGTGACAAGAAGGATGGGATCTGAAGTATTTTAAGATGGATTAATGGCAATGTCTTCTACTCTAGTAATTTATAAATATTTGAATGTTCACTGCATTCACTCATCACACGGTGAATATTTGAACTGCTCCATCGCATACCCATCCCCTGGGACAGGTAGAGGGAAGCCACCAGAAGGGACTTGCTGCTCCTTTGTCTCTCATACATACTTTTTCTCTGCCAAACTCACTTCCATCTCTTCTCTTTACACAGGTTTTGACCTGATGGATCTCTTCAGTGTGAAGGAAATCCTGGGGAAGAGAGAGAATGGAGCCCAGAGTTCCTATGTGCGGATGGGATCCTTTCCCGTGGTGCAGAGGACTGAGTGAGTGGTCCCTTCTTTTCCAGGCCTCTCTGAGTGCCTTGGAACAGTGCAGGAAGTTGGTTGGCCAGGCACTGAGCTGGGCTGCACCCCACTCAGCAGTGCCTGGAGAGGTCACAGTGAAGGAAAGCACCTCAGCCACTGAGTGAGGCTCCATGCAATCTATTCCCGTACCCTTCTGTTATCACTGACTGTAATGGTTCTTTGACCCTTCTACACTCATCTTTCCACACATGTTTGGCATTGATCATTCATTCACACACATGCTTTTCTAGCAGCCAACTGTATGAGAGCCATTATGGTAACAGGTATGTGCACCTATTAGAGAGTGACCATAGCATCTCTTGGAATCAAATAGGGGTTGGGCCAGTTGGAGACTCTTTTGGAGCTGGTTGAGGACCTGATCCAAACACATTATCTATGGCTGGTTTCCACCTGAGCTGGATGTCCTGCCTTGCACCTCAGTTAAGAGGATATGCAATAAGTTTGCCAGTGTCTGTTATCCACAGTGTCTCCAGCCAAGGGCTAATGAGCCAAACAACTGCTCCTCTTTCCTCATCACAGACAGATCAGCTGAAAACAAAACTGGTACTGTGTCACACCACCTCTGCTTCATGTTAAAATTCTTGAGTTGCTTCCAGGTGTTTTCAAATTGGGGTGGGACAGATAGGAAAGGCTCCAGCTGTAACCTGGCCACCAGGCTGTGTGGTCTCCTGGCTCATCCCCAAGCCTCCCTCATTTACTTCCTTTGTGGTCTCTTCCCCATACCTGAGACATCTCTGCTCCTCCTGCAGAATACAGTTATACCATTGTGCTATCCAGGATACTGTCCCTGGACGCCCAGTCCAATCCAGGCCTTCCTTCTGTCCACTGCTTACACAGCCTGTCTTCTTGCACACAGCAGAATCCACTGAGCACCCATGCAGTGAGTCCTGCAGGACAGGGTCCAGAAATTCCTGAAGGAGCTGAGTCTTGGTCACAGCAAGGAACTCACTGGCCTTTGTTGAGTGATTGAGTCAGTGAGGTGGCAGTGAATGAAAGTGCTCCTCCATCAGACTCCAGCTGCCCAAGGTGGGCATTGAGCACCAGGTCAGAATTTGGACCCTTGCACATGTGCAATCACCTGACTTGGTGAACATCTTTTGAGTGCCAGTCATGTACCAGGCACTATGTGACATCCTGAGGTCATATCGTCCTTGGCTCACAGCATCTGCAATCTGTTACTGAGATTTTGCAGGAAGGAAATGAGGCAAGTTTCTTTCTCTCTGAGCCTCATTTTCCCACCTGTGAAATGGAGGCAGTGATGACAGCAGTTGGCTTGGAAGACCCTGAGCACTCTCTCTGCCAATGCACAGATTCAGGTGATGATTATGTTATTTTTCCCTGGTCCCTGAGGACACCGGAGGATGAGCGGAGTCTGGCCTCCGGTCTCGCTTCACTCCCCTTTCTAATTCACCCACCATTCTGCTTCTCCTCAGATAAACACACAGAGATCCTAGGTGACTTCATCTTAAAGGAAAATGCAATAGAGAAAGAACAGAACAAAGCAGAGGGAAAGCAGATGTTGCCCAAGACGAGGGGAGAGGCCTAACCTAGGCTTCTCTTATGGGCCAGGGGTGCCTCTTTCCCTTGAGACACAAGGATCAAAGGCAGAACTGATTTAGGCACTGCTCTGTGGAGCAGAGGAGGACCCAGCTCTGGGTGATGAATTTGGACTCACACGATTCTGACAGTTGCCTGTAGGAAAGACTACCATATGGTTTCATGTTTATTTTAATGGCAAAACTCCAGGAAGAAATCAATCCAATAAAGCACTGACATTTCAAGAGAGAGAGCAGTTTCCCTTTAATTGCTAATGCATTGGAACTCATAGCCAGATACATATGCTTAATTTAATTAGCAGGTTACTTTCATTCATAATTGAAAAGGAATGTCACTTTGAATACTGACATTTTCTCAGTTGTTTAACATGTAAAAGGCACATACACATCTCACCTAATTTATTTCTCACTGTAGTACAGTGAGGTGAACAATGCAGGCGCTATTCTCATTGACCTGGTGCAACATTGGAGACTTCAGATGGGGCATCAGTTTTCTCAGAATCTCTGTATTTGCTGGAAGTGGAGACTAACCTTAAACTCAGTTACTTAATTCCAACCCCGTATTGTTTGCACTATAAAATCTTGTAATCTGCTGCAGTGTTTTGGGAAAGTATTAGAATAGGGCATTTTTAAAACCTAGATAGTCTCTCCTGATGACCTTTTTGATCTCTTGGATTAATATGACATTTTCTTAAGTATACACACATGCTACATATATGTTAGGGTATACACACATATGTGCGTCTATGGATGTGTCTCCAAAATGTAAAAAGAAAATATGTTCAGAATGAAAGTAGGAATTCAGTTGGATTCATTCAGAAAATAAAGAAAAAATGAAGTGAAATATTTCACTAAGGCTACCAAACCTGGGTCTATGCATGGAGGCCGGGATGTCCTTTCATGTGGACAATGACCAGAGTGTCCCTGAATTCTGAAGGAGGCCCAAATGCTGTGTGTGATGGTCCTGATGTCTCCTCTTGGATGTGATCCTGGGTAAAATTCCAGCTCATAGCATGACACTAGGAGCACTTCTATCTGGATTTGTGAGCTGAGAATCACAGAACATTGGTCTTCTGTAGCCAGAAGAAGCATCCCTAAGGGCATGCAAATCTAAGAACCAGGAAGCCAGACGCCTTCCCACTTCGTTTCCTGGCTGTCTGGCCAGATGGATTCCACCTCCTCCATTGGAGAAATCCATGCCCTGTTTGTCCTCAGAGAGACCCCTCTGCTCAGGTGCAGGATCCAGCTCCACCACAGCCAAGATCTGCAGAATGATGGTTCAGTGAGCTGATGGCTAGGGAAAGAGCTGTGGACCCCAGGCCTCTGGCTATGACACTCTGCAAGCTTCCAGGAGTCTACCCAGCATAGCCTGGGTGCCCTTGCCTGTAGTAAGAGGAACAAAACACTTTCTTCACAAGTTATTTCAAGGAAGAAATGAGACATACATGAAGATGTAGTGTCCATCTTGAATTAAGTGTCAATAAATACTATTTTTAAAGTGACTCCTTAGAATTTTGTATCAATGATCCTATCATATCAAATGAGATCATGTGTGTGAGCAATGTGTTTATCCCAGGAAACACTACAGAAAAATAGCTAAACTTTCTATGGATAGATTTGAAATCTAGTTTAGGCTAGCCGTCTCATTCAGGAATAGTATGGCCCATATAAACTTTGGCTATATCTAAAGCCATTTTTGTTATCATGGCTAAGGTGGAATGGGACAAGGGATGTTGCTAGGTGACTGACCTGAGATGTACCAGGTGGCTCCCAAGTCAGTGTTGTCCTCCATGTGTCCTCGAGAAAAATTAACCAGGCTCTCACTGGAGCTGGGGAATGCAAGGTTTCTCCATGGAACCACAATGAAAACAGCTTATACAGAATTCGTGTAGAGCTCATCCAGCTGTGGTCCCAGTAGCTGATCGGGTGTGTGGGCTTCCTGCCTGCTGCCTGCTGCCCTCACACAGCCCAACATGAGCTGGCTCTGTTTCTCCACAGAGATGTGTTTCCGCAAGGTCTCCCTGATGAGTATGCCTTCGTCACCACCTTCCGGTTCCGGAAAACATCTCGGAAAGAAGACTGGTACATCTGGCAGGTCATTGACCAGTATGGCATCCCCCAGGTACTGGTGTTGTCTTGTTTCCATGAGCCCAAAGCCTGCATTTGCTTCTCTCAGTGAATGAATGGCAGAAGCCACTGCATTTTCTCCAGGGTGCTGGTGTACGGGCCTTGGAGAAGCTGCAGGTACAGTCTCTGGGCTCAGTGGGTCCAGTGTCTTCTCCCAATGATAGTTTAGGGCCAGACATTCTGATAGAAGGAAGGAAACATAGTCTGGGACTCTGACTGACCAGGAAGTGGCCACCATCTATGTTGTCCAGTAGTACCTGGCTTGTTGGCAGTATGCACAAGGCAGCTTTATGATGCAGCACTGGAACTGGCACCACTTCTTCCTCCTGCTTTCTGGTGTGGGCTCCTTGCTTCCCTAGATGCAAAGTGAAAAGTAGAGAATGCCTATGATGCATGGTTGGCAGACAAATCAGACAAGATAATGTCTGAAAAGGAACCAGAACTTTGTCTGACACTGTAGAATTTTCTCATGCTTAGGTTCCTTCTTGTGACTGGAGTAGTCCTCCTGGGGTTGTTTATTAAGACTCTGAATTATGTCTTCCCCTGCTTAGGGTGTGTTTTGGCTCTTAGTTTAGACAAGGAAGAACAGTGCAGTAAGGAAAGTCTGATCCCAAAATCACAGCCACCTGTGCAGTCTGCTGCTCTGAGTTGGAAGCAGCACTGCTTTCTGTTCTATACTCTTTTGTTCTCAGTCTTAGAGCAGCCGTACCTTTGTCCTGTCCTGGAAAACAAACTGTGTGCAGATGTCATTTAACTGTAGCTCTGGATTGCTGTCTAAATTTTCACATGGGGCTTAAATAAAAGCCTGTGTGTGTGTCCAGCAGTCACACCAGTGTCTGTAGTCAGAGACCACAAACTCCCTATGAATAGTGAGCCTCCTCCTTTGGGGTCTGAGCTGCACGCATTGCTTACCATTACACATCTGCTCTCTGTGTGGTGGAGGGGTGCTCACAACACCTCGCCAATCTCTGTTCACTTCATCCTCATCAATCTCCTCTACATGGGGATGAATTCTCATTGTCTCACAGAGGGAGAAACGGAACACAAAGAAGCTAAGCAATTTTCTGAGTCTCACAGATAATAAGGGCAAGAGCTGAGATTGAAACCTAAGCAGTAAAGCTCCCAAACTGATGCCTTTAACCTTGTGCCGAGCTGGCCTATCCCCATCAGAATCACTGTCCTGTAACATCCCCGGCACAAACAGATGCATACATTTTCTGTAACATGCCTGGTCACAGCAAGAGGCACACACATTTCAGGGTGACCTGACAAGAGGCCCAATTTCTGGAGTGTGGGAGGAAGAGGAAGTGGTCAAGGTTCTTCTGCAAAGGACATTTTTCTAGACAGCAGGCAGCTCACTGTGCTCCTGTCCACTTCCATCTCCAGTTACACAGGTTTGCTTCTGTACTTTTTCGGATCTGGTGGGATAGGACTGGGCGCATGCCATGGCATTCTTGTGGATGAGTCCAAACCACCCCCACAGTCTGGGTTCACCTCTTTCCCAACATTTGCAGAGCTGTGTCTTCCTCTTTGATCTGTCTGTAGCCTCCCTCCCTCTGCTGGAATGAGCAGTGTGGAAGATATCAGAGTGCCATGCTACATTTGTTTGTCTGGGAAGACCCAAGATTCCTGTTTGCAGAGGCATCTGGTAGTTTTCTTCCCCAAGAAGGCCTTGGGATAAATGCCCTTTCATAGGGTCTCTCCTCCCCTGGGGAGATTCTAGCATCCACAGGGAAAGGAACTACAGCTTTGCAAGTTGAGCTCTGTCCAGTCTGGTGCGAACCACACACTGGGGTCTCTGTAACCCTCTCTGATCTGCAGACACCCATGTTTATCTCCTTGAGTTCATTTGATATTTTCAACCAGGCCTGAAAACTGGTGTGTTTTCCATTTGTCATGTGGGTGAACTGAGGGGAATTCACACACTCCAGGTATGATAAAGGGACAGGACAGAAAGAGAGCCAGTGTGGCTTAGAGAATAGAAGCCAGGGAAGTGTGCAGGTCAGAAAGTAGAGGGATTGGTAAGGAACCTCTGGGAGCAATCAAGGCAAGACATGGGGCTGATTCAGAGGAGATAGGAGTGGTGAGACTGGGAGAAATAATCAGATTCTGGGTGTGTTTTAAAAATATAGACCCAGTAGGATGTGCTGATAGATCTGAGAGATGAATTGTCTCTCCAACACAAGCCAGCTAGTAAGGAGGACACAAGACTTAGGCAGGTCAGCCAGGCTGGATGCTAGAGAATCATACACTGATGTCAAAGTTGAGTACTCAGGAAGCTGAGCATGGTGGGCAGTGTAGGCTCAAGCCTATGAGACAATTATCAAGAAGTATAGGAATGTAATCATGGCCATAGTAGGTTCTGTGTATAACAAGTGTTAGATTATTAGACTGGGGCACATAGTTCGCTGTTTTTTCACTCTAATCATAACAAACAAGCAGATGAAGCAATTAAAATAAATCCAAGGCCCCACCCCAGGATTGCACTGATGTCTCCCTGAGTTGCACTGAGCAACCTTCCCCTTCACTGATGTCTTCCCAGGTTGTACTGAAGCCAGATTAAATTTAAAGTGAGAACTCAGGAGCCCTGGTCTATGTTACCACCACTGTAGCTGAGATCTGTGCTCAAGTGGGCACCTTCCTGTAACCTCATTTCTTCATTCATTTCTCCATTCATTCATTCACTGCCTTTTCACTGAGTGCCACTCTCCACCATGCACTATGGTGCATGAATAAGAGTACCCATTTGGGAAGATGGGGAAGGCAGACAGCAAAGAGGTAGATGGAAGACAGGAACAGAAATGCCTCATATCCTGATGCAAGGCTATGACAAAAATCAATATGCCTGAGGGTGCAGGAACAGATGTCCTTGTTAAAGTCCAGTTACTTGTGCTTATTTGAGAAGGTTGCATTACTGCAGTGCCTTTGAATGTGCTTGTTTAAGTTACTGTAAGTAGGATTTAGAACAATACTGGGTATATAAATGCCATGTGAGCAATTTACTTATGCAATTGTTCATTTTATCCTCATAGCAAGTCTTTGATAGTGACATCACTATTGGTCTCCATTTTAGTAATAAGAGAACAGTACAGAGAGATTAGCTAACTTGTCCAAAGTCACGTAACCCAAAAGTGATGTATTGCAGGAATGTGAGTGCAGATAAGAACTAAGCCAACAGGGGCAGCACTCAGTTAGTTCTTGTCTTGTGGCCTCTCTATCTCTGCACTGATAGGCAAATGTCTATCTGATGCAGGGTGACATGCCTGATACCTGGTATGCAGCTTGCCTGCCACGCCTGGGACCTTTAGTGAGTGTTTGTGGAGGGATGAAGAAATGAACGTATGGAGGAGAACATATTCACTGATTCATTATAAAAACCAACAATGGTAGAACTATCTTCCAAACTTGGCCTGTGCTGGAGATGTACCAAAGGCTAGGACACTCCAGTGACCAGGATAGACAAGGTTTCTGTTATCCAGGAACTTTATTCTGCTAGGGATTCAGCTTTGTTCCTGAGATAAAAGTCAATGTAAGTTGACAGATGGAGTTGCAGACTGGCATCTGGTATCTGGCCAGGGAATATGTTAGGTTTAGCCAGTCAAGGATCTTAAGAGACTCTGAAGCTAGTTAAGACTTCTAGCTGGTCTCACTACAACTCAGGTCCTTCTGGCAATCTCACAAAACTTTTCTCAAGGGACTCCTGGATTCATGGGTTCAGTGATAGCACAGGCCTTAGAGTAGCCCATGAAGTCACCATGATGCCATTGTGCCAGGCAAGAACCCAGAGAGAGACACTACTGTCTTAATCTCACAGAGCAGTTGACCAGCTGGTAAGAGTCTCAACCTGGATGTGACCCAGCTTTGGCAGCTCTGACTCAGAAGCCCCCTGCTTCCCCACTTTGACCCATTCAGGGAGTATATGGGTCTGTCTCCTCCAGGTCTCCATCCGGCTGGACGGCGAGAACAAGGCTGTGGAGTATAATGCTGTGGGTGCCATGACGGATGCCGTCAGGGTTGTCTTCCGAGGTCCCCGTGTCAGTGTCCTCTTTGACCGAGACTGGCACAAGATGGCTCTGAGCATTCAGGCCCAGAATGTCTCCCTATACATTGACTGCTCACTGGTCCAGACGCTGCCCATTGAGGAGAGGGAGAACATCGACATCCAGGGCAAGACGGTGATCGGCAAGCGCCTGTATGACAGTGTGCCCATCGAAGTGAGTTCTGGGGCCCAAGGGTAGGGGCTTGGGAGCCGGGTGACCCTGCCGTCCCCTGCAGCTGCATGTGCTATTTATCAGGTCGTCTCCTTGGACTGAGACTGGCGGATGCTGACTCATGTCAGAGCCCACATTTACCATCGTTCATTCATGCACTCCACCATGCAGCCTTTTCTTCCTCCATTCATCACGTGTATAAGGAGCACTAGCTGTGTGCCAGCTGTTGTCCCAGCACTGAGGACAGTGGAACTCACAAAGAAGAGCAAGACTAGTGTTTAGATGTTTTTCCTTCTACCCAAGGGGCTTGAGCACTCTCAGATTTTGGTATCTGTGAGAGATCCTAAAACTAAGGCCCTGCGAGTTCCAAGGGGCAGTGTGGGTGAGATTTAGCAAGTGCAAACATAAATACACAAATTTCGACCAGGGATATAGTTCAGGGCCATGAATGCTTGCCTGGCAAACCCAAGATCCTGACTGTGATTCCTGATAGGAAAAAAAAAATATGCATTTTCAGTAACCCAGATTATCCAGCTATAAGTAGGGACAGAGTGGAGATGTAGCTCCCAGAAGCTGTGTGCTGTGAATGGCAGCCTGGTCATTCCATCAGCTGGACAGTGTTGATGCAGCACCAGCCAGTGCCTGCTGCTGTGTGTGAGCCACAGCTTCTGTGCATCTACCTGGGAGATTGTTCCCCTCATCAGAGAGTTGCTTCTGTCTTTCTGGAGTCCTGCAGAAACTCAATAATGTGTTCCAAGGAGAAAGACATTGGCTTTAAGGACCTGGGTCTTGTAGTGGAAGAAATCCACACTGAGATTGTCCACTCTAGTTTCATAAACTTCACAGTGAAAACCAGCTACCAGGCCCAGAAGAGATGAACCCAACCTAGATGAGCAGGGTGTATGTATGTGTGGGGTGATGACAAGGGCATGCAGAAGGTCTTCCTCAAGGAGGTGCCCCTTGGGATGCTCCCTGTGGGAGGAGCTTGATGTTTCTGTGCAGTGGTGAAATAGACCAGCTTGGCACGAGCAGCATCTTGAGATAGTGGGAGCATAAGTATGGGGTGAGGAGGCAGGAAGTGGGTCAGGTCTTGGCCTGCACAGGCTTGGGAGTCAGCTGTGAGCATGACTGGATTAGTGGGCCTAGCGTGGAAAGTGAAGATTGGGTTGTGCAGAGTCGGGAAACAGGAGGAGAGGATGGTGGGTAGGAAAGAGGTGTTAGGGCTCACAGTCCTGCCAGGCAGGATGGAGGAGGCCTGGGTGCAGGCGGGGTCATGTGCAGGGAGGAGACTGGTGGACACCAGCTGAGATAAGTGTGGTCCTGTTGACTCCCTGCTGTAGGAAGGCAGAGCCAGGGAGCTGCTGGGCATCCAGGCTGGGGAGCTGGAGGGGCATGGAAACTTGACGCCAAACTTTCTAGGGAGGCCTGGAACTTGGAAGCTTCTTCCCTATTCTTCCCTGAGACCCCCTTGCCTTCTCTTCCCATGCACTCATACCTCTTGTTTCCATCCAAGTTCCAGGGAGTGGGGTCTCAGGAAGCAGAGAGATTCCTTTGTGGGTGTGTTCTAACTCTCAGGCATTCATTCCATTCTGGCCCTCACCCTAATCTCACCCTGCACCCTAATCTCCCCCTGGGCAGTACAGACCCAGACAGCCTTCCTGGTGAACAGGGATTGGCCTCATGGACCTCACTGGGCTGCTGTTTCACCCTGGTTATGCCATCAAGCCATAAAGCCATGATCCCATTTTTAGGTAGAGAACCAGAAAGTCCTAGATGGGGCAGGGTACTGGAGAATTCTTGTCTGTCTTCCTCTTTAATTTTGTGTGGCCTATGTAGACTTCTATGGGCTCTTGACAGTCAGCACTTCCTGTGATCATAGCAATGGTCCAACCACTCCTGATGGTGTCTGACCCACTGCATTCTAAGTAGCTTTCTTGCGTCCATTACTTTCCTCCATACTGCAGCTCGGGGAGGTCATTGATCCCCTTTTAGTAAGAAAATTTGAACACAGAGATATGAAGTAACTTGGTCAGAGTTGCAAAATTAGCAAGTGGCTCCTAGTCTGTCTGAGTGCTTTGTCTTGGGTTAGAGGTGCTCGGTCTATCTTCTTCCATGACTCTTGAGTTTGATCCTTGTGCTAGACCAGTAGTGGAGCTCAGTGTTCCAACAGTGTGTAGAGTCAGGGGTCTCTTTTAGGTCACTCAGGTTTTGCTCATTGGCAGTGATGATTCCTGTTTGGAACCAGACACCAGGGCATCCCAGTAGCCTATGGCACTCATCTGTGGGAGGGTTGCACCCACGTAGCATTCCACACTGTGTTCCTATGTTAGAAAAACCATCAAGGAAATACATGGGGGAGAGTCAGTGCATCCTCTGTGCCATGATGAATCTTCCAATAGCCCTGGATGGGGTGTTTGTAGCCATGCAGTTTGGAGTTGCCATCTTCCTGGACTCCATGTGGGGTAGGCACTGTGTCTTATGGGCCCTGTTTTCTTTGGTCCTCACCACAGTCCTGGGAGTCCATCTCAAAGAATGGGAAAATGAGGTCCAGGGGATCTGCTGACATTTCATTGAGCTGGGTTCCAGGCTCCAGACTCTGCCATCCACCATTGATTTCCACATAGCAGCCAGCCAAGGACCACTGAGCCCTCAGCAGGTGGAGCCTGGAGGGAAACTGGACTTAGGGAGCCCACCCAGGGAGGAGTGCAGCCCTGAGATTCTCATTGTATAACTGTGGGGGTGTTCAGGCAGGAGTGGGCAGCACAGGGTTGTCAGGATTTAGAACCTCTGGGTTTCAGAAAGCAGAGAGATATTTGGGATACAAGGGGAGAGTGGGCTTTAAGCAATATAAAAAATTCCCCTTCCTGGCCCCAGGCAGCCTGTGGTCTGCCTTGTCTGAGTCCCTGTCCCCTGCTCTTCCGGCCCTGTCCCTGCAATCTTGCCAGACAGGCCAGCCCTGTGAATGGATACTTGTTAAGGGAGAAATCAAACTTGCTCAGAAACAAGATCATGCATCCTGCCATTCTCTCCTGTTTCTGGGCCAGTGTTTCTATAGGAAATAAGACAAATGAATCATGATGGTTTCTGCTAAACAGAAGCAGTGGGGTGAGGAGCTATGCTTCAAGGGGCACATTATTCAGGCAGGAGGCAGAGGTCATGGAGGTGACCACACACCTCTCCTTGTGCTGAGGGACTCCAGCCCAGCGTAGGCTGTGTTCCCTCCTCCAGTGATTCAACTCATATCGATGGGGTTGAAGTTCACTCTTCCACTAATTCTGTGCCTATGCCACATCTACCATGTGTCAGGGCCCTTGTCCTTGCAGAGCGGATGCTCCTGCAGAGGAAACAGATTCTAAAGAGTGAACGAAGAATCCCACAACGACGTGCGCTGGCAGGTGTGTGCTGGTTTTGGAGGGGTAGGGCCTTAGGCTTTGCTGATGGTGATGAGATGAGAAGTGGGCCAGGGAAGAGGGAAGGGCATGAAAGCAGAGCACATGGGAAGGGGCACTCAGTGCTGTCTGGGTCAGTGAGGAAAGGAGACTAATTGTGGACTGGAGGTGAGCTGGAGTAGCACGAGCACCTGAGTCAGCCAGCCCCACTTTAGCACGCTGCTGCCAACTTCAGCTACCTGCTTAAGGCAGTGGTGCACTCTGCTTTTGAGGATTGGGAGTCCCAGATGAGATAGACACACAGGCATGAAGTCTACTTACATGGCTGTGGGCGCCGATGTAGCAGAGAAGACAGCTTGAGGAACTCCTGTCAGCAGTAGCTGGAGGTGTATTGGTTACTGTGGCTGCATAACAAATTACCCCACTCCACCCCCAATAAAAGGGGATTGAAACCACAAGTGTTTATCATTTCATAGATTCAGGAGTTGGGTGGTGGGTCGCTTAGCTGGGTGTTCACACAGATCTCTCAGGAGGGTACCAATGAGGTTTTTTCCAGTGCTGCAGTCATCTCGGCACTTCAGTGAAGCTGAAGCATCCCCCCTGAGCTCTGGTGGCTTTTGGCGGCCTTGTGGTGTGGCTGAGCTCTGCTCTTCACCGGTTGACTTTGTGAAAGACAACTGGTCATCAACTTGTAATTTCAGCTCAACTGAGTCAGCATGGCTCTGGGTGTAGATGGCCCACTTGAGGATTGTTGCCAACATAAAAAGGAGAACTGGAGAGGAAGAGGTGGTGTTGGTTCTCCTGTTGCCATTGGTTCTCCTGGAGGAGTTTGTTGCACTGATTTGGCTGTTCTTGTTGCTGGAGGAGTTTGGGCCCTCATTCTCACTGAGGATGGCTGTGGTACTTTTGAGGGAGCTCTGGTGCTTTCTTTGTGCATCACTTCCTGGGTCCCTGGGTCCCTCAGCCTGCTGATGCAGATCTTTCATCTCGCTGGTGTAGACTTTATAGCTTCCACTGTAACCACTGGGCCTTCCTAGTGCAGATTTGTGAAACAGACTTGCATGAGACATTGTCATGGGCTCTAGGTCTCCAGCAGGACTCATTCAGGACATTGCCATGGGATCTGAGCCCTCAGCTTGATCTTTTAGGGTCTTTAATGTGTGGACAGATTTCTTGCACTTTTTATGTTTTACTCTTTGGGTGATTACTATAAAATAATTCAGTAAATTATGTATAATGTGTTAAATTGTTTTTCTTGCAAACTCTGACTACAATACCCTATTTACTCTGTAATTTGAATACCTGGCTGTCTATGGAGCTATTTGAAATGGGACAGCTGATGTCCCCATGAAAAGCGATGAGAAAGTAAAAGGAGGAGGGAGAGGGGAAGGAAGGACACCAAGCAAGACAGAAACCAGGCCTTCTATAACCTGCTCTCCAAAGAGGAAGGGACACATCCCATTACTTTTATGATAACTGATTGTTAGGTTTCAGATTAAAAATACCTCCCCAAAGTCTCCTGTGTTCAGAGGTGGGGGCTGTTGGAAGAGATATGTCACTGAGGCATGCTTTTGGGTGGTGTGTCTACCTCCTTGGGTTCTCCATTCTCTCTGCTTCCTGGCTGTAATCCGGTAAGCAGCTTTCCTGTGACATGCCTTTCTACCATGATGCTTCCTTCTTGGAGCTGGCTTACCATGGACTGAACCCACTGATAACTGAGCCAAATAAAACTGTCCTCTTTTAAATTGTGAGTGTTGGGTATTGTGTCTTGGGTGCAAAAACTGACTAATACCCTGATCCATCAGAGGCCAGGAGTGGAGCTGGAGGAGCATGTGCCCCTGTGTGTGGCTGAGGTAGAGAGGAAGGATGCGGAGGCTTCAGCCAATGCCCAGGCCTCCTCTGCACACAAGGAGGGGGGTTGTTTAGGTCGCGGGTTGATATACTATGAAATCCTGCAGGGGAGCAAGGCTGAGAGGACTCTGAGGAGGAAGTAGGTGGCCCCTCTGACACTCTGACACTGGAGGCTTTTTCCAAGTCCCTAAAGCTCATACTTTCTCTCCATATTCCTTCCCAGTTTGACCTGCAGAGGATTGTAATTTACTGCGACTCAAGACACGCAGAGCTGGAGACTTGTTGTGACATCCCATCTGGCCCAGTGAGTAGACTCTGGCACAGAGAGAGTAAAAAGGGTTTGTATGGACAGCAGAGGAGAAAAAAGTGTCCAGGGCTTAGGAACAAGCAGTCAAAGATTGGGGACATTGGCTGTTGGTATGTGGCTTAAAGGGCCGTCTGGTAGTTGTGCTTGGGTTCCACTGACTTGGGCTGGGGGAGCTGAGGCAGGCAAGTCCTCCCTGAGGCCTGCTATGTCTGGGCCTCAGTCAGAGAGACCTGGAGGCTGTGGGTCATGAGACAAGATTCAGCTTTCAGGAGCACAAGAGGCTGAGGCTGGTAGACATCCCTAAGAAGGGACTGGTCCTCCATGCAGCCAGTACTGGAAGAGGGGGCGGCTGCAGTGCCCAGGCTGGGCTGCAAGACAGCTAGTTCAGGACATGCTGCCCACTACATACAGGATCTGTCTCACCCCATCTGTACCTCACCCATCTCCTTTCAGCCCTTCCTCTCTTTTACTTTCCACCAAACCCAAATTCCAAAGCTCACTTACAAGGTGAGCATTACCACTGAGCCCACTTCTCTGACATGATGAGTGAAGTCTGTGTGATGCTTGACTGGTCCAGGTCCCTGGGCACAATAAGCACATGATAATTGTTCCCATCTCAGCACTTAGGGAATATAGGTACACAGCTGATGCCAAGAATTTGGTGTCATATGGACCTGGTTTTGGAGAGAGGAAAAAAAAGGGGGGAATGGTAGACAATGTGAGAATACAAGGAGAGAGGGAAGAGAAGTGTGTACCAGATGCAAGACCCAGGTTGGAGTATTTTCTATGCTGTCTTATTAAATTCTTATGAACTTAGGAAGAAAACATCCTTGTCTCCACTCCACAGAGACAAACTCTGAGGCTCAAGGGGTTAAAGAGCTGGGCAGTATAGACTGAAGCCAAACTGGCCAGTCTTACTGGCCCCAGTTCTTTGGGGAATCAGAAGTGCATTTTCAGACATGACCTGTCCACTTTCCTGGTATGCTCAGAGGTCTTTATGGTTTGGGGTCTGCCCAGTTTCTTAGAGGCATCAGAGATCTTGCCTCTTGTGATGGAGGTGAGCGAGAGAGCAGCCCGATTCTGACTTACCTCCTTTCCTTCCAGTGCCGGGTGACCGTGGTGACAGAACCTCCACCCCCACCCCTGCAGCCCATCACCCCTGGCAGTGAACAGATTGGGTTCTTGAAGACCATCAACTGCTCCTGCCCACCTGGAGAAAAGGTACTGTCTGAGGTGGGCGTTTCACATCATGTACCTGGTCTGCAGGTCAGGATGTCCTGGGCTCATGGTGGCTGTCAGTTCAGAGCACCGTTCTGGTTCTTTTGTTCTCCTGTTTCTTGATTTTTGTGCACAGCAAAAGGAGGGATGCTTATGCCTGGCACTAATGAACATTTTTTCCAAAGTTAATGATGTAGTCCTGAGGTTTTTCTGGCTCTTCCCTGTTATTATCTGCACTCAAATGCAATGAGATCAAACTAGCTTGGATAGTAAATAAGAATCAGTACAGGACCATGAAGGGGAGTTGGAGACATCCTCCAGAGAGGAACCCAGTTCCCTTCCTAGTGTTGCCTTAATTAGCCACACTCCATAATCTAAATTTACATATCGTAGTGTTTTATGTATTTGTGTCTAATTTTAAAATGTACACATTTCTTAGAGCACCACTGCTGCCATCCATTAGACAGGATTAAAAGTCCCATCATGTGCCCAAGGCTACCACTGGTTTGATGTTAAGCCAGTGGTTGTTTATTATGAATAATGATTATTCACCATTTGAGCAGAAGGAACATAGCAATATGCATGAGGATGACAAAAGGTAGCATTGTATGGGGAAGGGTTCTTTGAAGTTCTCTTGGACCACTGTCCCCAAGCTCTTGATCTCCAGCATGCAGCCACACCTGTCTCCCTCAGCATCTCATGGTCAGTGCCCATATGCAAGAGGAATGCAGCCCATCTGCCAGGGCTAGGGTCATATGGTCTAAGAGGTAAGATGATGGATGATAGTAACTGGAGCGGACACACTTCCATATGGTGTAACACTTTTTCTTTGGGAAGATGCTCTGGCAGACAGATTCTCCTCTTTCTTTCCTACTCTCATTCTGCTACTTTCCACACTTTCCCTCTTTTATTTCCCTTCTACCCAGAGAGCTAGATCTTGGGGAGACAGATCCCCTTCAAGAGCTGTCCATCAACCAAAGTTTTCCCATCCTGGTCTATTTACCAGAGGACAGGCCAAAAGCCAGCCCTAGCTGTGTGCCAAGCTGGGCCATTTTTGGGGCCCAGGGTGAAATTCAGAGCCTCTGGCCTGGTGGCTGGATTAGGGGTGGAGCAGGCTGGGGTGAGTGCACATTCATGCCTGGCAGTGGGAATTGAATACCTCCAATCCAGAGCACTTGCAAGGCAGCCTCAGTCTATGCCAGTGACGTCACAGAAGTGGCTGTCTCAACTGAAATCCTCCAGAATCCTTATTTTTTATTAGATCTGCAAATGAGAAGGGTAAGGGTATGGGCAGGATCACCAGTCAGTGCACACAGAGGCAAGGTGTAGCCAGAGCAGCACTGCCCAGAGCCAAACCCATGAGTGGGGTCTTCCTGCTACTCATGAGGGACATCCTTTTACCTTTCCCATTCATCTTCTCTCTAACTCACAAAATCCCAGCCTCTACCTGATCTTGGTGCATAAGGACACTTCTCTGCTGTTTCACCTCTGCCTAATGGTCAGACTCCTTTCTGGTTGGTCTCCAGGCCCAGAAAGGACTTCTGCTTCCTTGGAGGGGCCATCGCTTTTCTAACTTGTCCTTTGCCTAGGCAGTGCCTTCTGTAGAAATCCTCTTTTCCTATACTTCAGTTTCTTTGTCTTCCTGTTGCCTGCTCTTCAACAACAGGGCCAAGCAGTCTTGCTGACCACAATATTATTTCTGTAATTTCTTTACTTGCTTTCCCTTCTCCTCTTCTTTACTGCCTTTTACTATTTACCCTCCAATTACTGAATAATTATGTATTCAGTATTTGCTGTTTCCTGACTCTGAGCTTCCATCTGCCATACCAGTGACACACTGGATTGAAATATCTCCTTGCTTTTGTTTCCATAAAACCCTAATTCCAGATGACAGAGGCAGAATCATTACATGTAAGGAAACACTTAGGCAGTGGCTGAGTTGACAGAAATGTGGGTTTGCGTGTAAAAGGGTGGACAGGTGGATGCACAGAGGGGTGAAACAACACATCCTTTCTTCCTCTGAAGGAGCAAGACCCTGCTGCTCAAGCTTATCAACCGGAATTTGTAGTGTCAGCCCCACCAGTCTTATCCTCTGGGTGCCATTGCCCAGGAGCCCAGTATTCCCTGTTTCTGACCTAGACATTAAGCATGTGCTGCACACCTCAGTCTGAGACAGGGGCTTGAGGAGTTAGGACGTGACCCTCAGAAGTCCCAGTCTGCTCTCTGCCTGGGGGACTGAGTGCTCTGAGGCCCCCCTGACCTCAGGAGTTCAACACTAAGCCAGCCTCAGTGCTTCCTGGGCACAGGATGGAGGGGAGAAGCCTTGTTCCTTCCTCCCCCTGTGAAGGGTCTAGTGAGGGAATTTTAGTACTACCTTGTGAAGCAACTGGCTTTTGTCTTTTTATCTGCATTTCTGTAAAACCCAAAGCCTGGCACTCTGGAGTCAGAGTTCTCCCACAAAGCCTTAGCCACGGCGGACCTTTTCCCAGAAATTTAAATCTTCTATTCAATTTGCAAACATTTCCATTATTGAAGATCAACACAATGTTTTTCGAGTTCCTGTGTTTGTCTCTGTGACCAAATACTGTGGTAAGTGTGAACACAGATGTCCAAGGTGTTCTGGAGGACGCCAGAGTAGACCAAATACACCCAGAATTATTACCTTCATTTGCAGGTGTCTGGAGCAGCTTGTTAGTGCTGAGCACACATGTGTCACTGGGTGCAGGGTCACTTTTCTTCATTAATGCACTGATACTTATGCATAAAAAATTACAGGAATCCTGCTATTTGTGACAATATTCACAGGCTGCCACAACTTCCAGAACCCACTTGGAAAACCAGTAACAACATCTTCTGCCCATTTTCAAAATTGAACACAGTTTACATTTAGAAATTTCATACAGTGGTGTTGTGCTTTGTATTTATTACATAATAGATATGCAAACCAATAGCAGACAACATAATTTCATTTTTGATTGAAGTGATGACATATCCAGGCTAAAAAATAACCTATGGAAAGCATGTTGGTGTTATTCCTTTATTTATCTTTGATACTGAGAATTTAGAGTCATGCATGTTTAAAAGATGCCAACCGATGCTGTGGTGTATGCGCACAGCAAAGAATGAGTGAGCAGAGCTGGTTAACACCATCCCCTCAAATATTTATCCTTTCTGCCTCCAGCCCTAGCCTGTGCTCCTTGACCAGTGCCTCCCACCCCTAACCCCACCCCTGGTACCATCCTGTCTCATCCTGCTTTCTGCTTCTGTACTGGACTTTCTCACTTCCAAGCACCAATAAGGTTTTATGGCATTTATCGTTCTGCTCCTATGTATTGCTCCCATCCTTCATCCTCCAATCGAGTGTCTGGAGGCTGTGTTCACCATTTCTGTGTAGATTTGCCTTTCAAGACTGGACTCTTGGCCATCAGCAAGCTCTGTGTCTAACTCCCTGCTGAGCTCTCAGCTTACTCCAAGACAAGCTTTTGAGCATGAAGGTGGAAAACCAGCTCTTAGAGGAGAGAAGATGGTTGAAACAGAGGCTTAGTGTTTCTTTTTGTCTTTCTTCCTGCAGGGTGAAAAGGGCTTTGATGGCCCCGTGGGACTCCCTGGTCCGAAGGTCAGTACTGTCATGCAGAGGTGACTACTGGAGCTTGAGCATGCCTCACTTTGCTTTCCATGTCAGGACAATTGTGGATTAGATGGCTTTCCTGCCAGCTTTTTCTTGGAAGCTGGTTGAGTTGCTAGGATAAGAGAAGCTCAGAACTCTGTTTCTCAGCCTAAAAATAGAGGCAGAAAAAGGGTAAGTTTTCTGGCCCCCAGGCTCAGAGTTTGTTTGCCTCAAATTTAGCCCTCCAAACTCACCTTATTTTGCATCAGCCTTGCAAGTTAATGTATTTCAGAAACTTTCCAGAATTCCACATTGAACATTTCTTTAAATTGCACGAAACTTTTCTACACAAAATTTGAGAAATTACTAATTAGACAGAGCTAGGCACTCCCTTTTGGGCCCTTCATCCTGAGATCAAGAGCAGCCCTTTCATTCCCTCATTCCCCAGGCTCCCATCTTATCCCATCACTGTTCTGATCTCAGAAAATTGAAATCTCAGTGGTGCCAGCCATCTGATATCACTGGGAGAGAAATTTCTACATTCTTGCACAGACTCTACCTGGTGTGATATCTGAAGTGGCCGAATGTGGGGGCAGAGACAGTGGGGCCTTTTGCTTCCCCTGCTCCTCCTTCCTTCCCTCTCTCCATGTAGAGTCCTCTCAGTGATGCTATTTGTCCCTTCCCTCCCTCACCTCCCTGCTCCCTTCTCTGTCCCACCTCCTCTATCAATCACTTTCCCCTTCAACCCCATCCTTTCCCTTTCCTAATTTTGATTTCATTCACACATCATTATCAGTAAGGAACTTCTGCTAATGTCCAAGAACTGAGGTTGACACAAGGGCTGGAGGATGATGTTCTTGAATCTCTGAGTCTGGGGGTACACACATAAATAAGTGCAAGTGACACGAAGGGTGATTTGGCTAGTCCTCTTCATCCAGGGGTAGACCCCATGGCCTCCATATGCACTTGGCAAAGATGACATCAGCTACTACTAGGAAACAGGGATGAGCTTGGTTGTGGGGCAGTCTGTGAGTACAGGAATTCTGCTTAAGATCATAGCCTGATGTTTGTCTCTGGTTTTGACCCTACAGGGAGACATGGGAATTGCTGGGTTAATGGGTGCTCCTGGACCCAAGGGAGAGAAAGGGGACATGGTGAGTCATCTTTAAGTGGCAAGACCACGTGGCTGGTGTGGGAAACTCAGTTCTTGTGCCAAGGGCTGAAGATCATTTCCTTTTTATGGGCAGAGGACACTTACTGCATATGGACCTAGGGCCTCTCTTATCCCTAGCTGCCCACCTCCTAGAATCTGCTTCCATTGTGACTTCCCAAATTGGTCATTTCGTGGCTTCTTCTCTCACTTTGCAAATTCCACATGCTCTTTCCTATGTCAAGGGTGATTGCCCTCCATTGATCCTATTGTCTCTTGATGCCCCTTCTTGCCTCACAGTAGGTCAGGAAAAAATCTAGGACAAGTCTCTCTTCAGTGTGGCCCTGGGCACTCAATGCTTGGGAGATATTTGGCTCCTATAAGACAGATAATCTTTCTGTTAACACCTTCATGCTCACTTTGGCAGCACATATACTAAAATTGGAACAATACAGAGAAGGTTAGCATGGCCCCTGTGTAAGGATGATATGGAAATTCATGAAGCATTCCATATTTGAAAAATAAAGAAATAAAACATAAAATAAAACAATTTGTCTAGTAGTATTATGGAGAGTAGATGAGTGAATACATGCAAACAGCTTGGGACAGTGACAGGCATTAATGTCCCTTACTGCTGTGAAGATCACCTGCATGGTGGAACACACACTTCTCAGCACAACACTCTGCAGTGTCAGTAACACAAGGTTGCTGTCAGGTGGACCTTGGTTACTGTCATTGGCAACAGCTTCTATTGACTGTGTGACCTTTGTCAAGTCTCTTAGCCTTTCTGAAGCACTTCCCTCATGTACTCCACTAGCAAAAGGAGAGAATAACAGCCACTTTGTTTATAAAATGCAATGTAATTACATTCAAAAAATGAAAGGGAGCAGTTCTTAAAGAAGCACAGAAAGGTGTGGCAATATACATATGTACAATTAATAAAAGGATAGAGCATAAATGGAAACTCTGCAGTTTAAAACTAGAATAATTAAAATTTTGAATTTCTAGAGAGGTTCTACAATAGGTTGACAGAAGAAATAATCATCGTTCCTGAAGCTAGTCAGTAGGGACCATATCCTGGGAAGTATAGAAGGGAAAATGGAATTCGAACAGCATCGTAGAAGTGTGACATGATGGAGTGCAGTCTGCTCTTTACGGGATTCAGGGGAGAGGAATGGAAGAAGCAAAGAAGCTTGCAAAGATGGCTGAAGGCACCATCTATTTGGGAAAAGTGGTAATTCACACATTCCAGCTGTCCAACAGACTCCTTACAGGACAAAAGATATACACTCTGACACGCACTTAGAAAAATCCTGATAAAAACATTGAAAGGCAAATAAAAAACAGGAAGAGAAAAATGATTCAATGAACAAGGAAACTCCATAAGGTTAGTAACTGGTAAGTCACTGGTGATACTGAAGCAGAAAGCAGTAAGAGGCCATGTTCAAACTAAGAATTGTGACAGTGTATTGATGGGTGTTTAACAAATATGCATGCACCATGTGGGGCAGTAATAACTCCCCAAGCAGCAGGAGGCCGCAGAGCCAAGAAGGAGCATGTGTGTGTATTACACTGAAAGTGTGTTTTTAATAAATCAAGTAGACACTGATGAGATAAAATGTATATAATTCCTAGAGAAATTTCTAAGATAAATTATAGGATAAATTACCTTAAATTATGTAGTGAGAATATCATTGAGAAAGTGAAAATGTTACACCAGGAAATACTTGCTTCATCCAAAAGACAGTAGTAGATAGAAGTAAAGAGCAAACAAGGAAACAAGAAACATAGGAAATAAAAAAGTGAAATATATTATTATATCAATAATATTTTGTATGAATGCATTAAATAGAGCGATAACAATAACAACAAAAGAAACAGATTTTCAGACAGAATATGAAACTAAGACCGAACTTATGTCTTGTCTGAAGGAGATATACTTTACATTCAGAGCTAGAAATAGGAGACCAGAGACGTAGTGCAGTTGTAGAGACCTTGCCAAGCATATATAATGCTTTGGGTTCCATCTGCAGTACTAGGAAAAAAAATATAGTCACAATAACGTTGGAAAATGTAATTTCAAAATTAATATCATGCAAAAGAGATTATAAATGAAAAAGATAGAGGGACAACTTATAATGATAAAATGATCAAACCTTTAAGAATATGTAACTGATAAATATATAATCACATGCCAGCAGACCCCAAATGCTGACACATAACTGACAGAATCCATGGCTGAAATGTGTGTCTCAGTAATGATGACCAGAAATTTTGACTCCTTGCCTTCCATAAAGGATGGGACCACTTGGCAAACAGAGAAGTAGGAACCACCATACACTGTTGGTGTGGGGAGATGCAGGTAGGGGATGAGGCAGTCTTGCAGGTCTAAAAAGTTGGACTGTGACATTATGCATGGCCTAGCAATTTAATTGCACTCCTAGGGATATACTCCCAAAATGCATGCACAGGGTCACACAAAATGAACATTATACACAAATGTACATAGCAGTACTATTTCTGATATTCCAAAGTAGGAACAAGCCAGTATCTAGCTCCTTGACAATGGGTAAATGCAACGTGCTGTATCCATACATCATCAGTTCAGTCTGCAGCAGAAAGAAATTTTGCTACATGGTGCACACTTGAAAAGACTTTGCTAAGTGAAGGAAGCCTGTCATAAACTGCACTTATCCAATGCTTCCATTAACAGCAAAGGTCTGGGTGAGAACAGAAAGCAGTTACTGTTGGATAGGGCTGGGAGCAGAGGAGTGCTGGAGACTGTGAATGGGGAGGAGGTTGTTTTGATGTGATAAAAGTGTTTTAAAGTTGATTTTGATGATTGTTATGAAGCTATAAATGTATTATAAATAAAATTATGAACTAGACACTTTAGGTTTACAAATTATATCCCAATAAAGATGTTATGAAAACAAAGAACAGTAACTATAATATTGAAATATTGGAAACATTAAATGAAATAACACTCATGAGGAGCCACATTTGGTAAATAACAGTGATGTCTTTTGGAGCACTTGAGTAGAGCACTTGAGTAGAGAAGCAGTGTGATTTGGGATGCAGGGTGACATCATGCCCTGGAGATGCTCCATCTTAACCCTTTGTTTTCTATTTTCCTTTACTCAGGGCAGAGGGTCTTTTGCCCAAGGAGGGAAGGGTGAGAAGGTAAGCACCTCCTTTACTGTGCTCTTGCAAGGGACGGGACGGGGACATCAGTTTGTGAGAGGTGTGCGCTGCTATCTTGCTAACTGTCACATGCGTGTGGAGAGAGGAGGTCCCCTGGTCCCAGTGTGTGTCTTCCCACACTCAGTGACTGAAGCATGTATAGTGCTGGAGAGGAAGCAAAGGCGAAGATAGGAAGCAGTGTTTGGGAGAGGCAAGGAGCATGATCCACCAGTTTGGGAGGTTATCGCATGTGTGCTGGAGAGATTGGCACTTGAGTTGCACCTAGGGAATGGCACTTTAGGAGCCTCCCATGGGGGAAGAAAGGTGTGGTGAATACTGGGTTTGGGGTGGACCATTCACCATGGTTAGAGGTCAGAGCACTTAATAGCATTCCGTGCAGGTGGGAAATAGTGATGGAGACGTGGCTTGAGGACCACCTGACAGGAAACTAAAAAAGTACTTAGGTTTCACGTGTTTCAGTGAGAGCCACTGAAAGGGTTTCTGTGATTGGCATGTGGAGGACCCTGAGGCAGCAAGTGTTAGGCCGATCTTCAAGGAGGAATTGGGGGAAGTCAGAGTACAAGGGAAGATGGAACTGGTGGGGGAAGCAGGACTGAGTGGGCAGAGGACTAAACAGTTCTGAGTGTGACAATTGCGTGTTTTCTCATCATTGTAACGTGCATAAGTGCACTGGATTCTGGGAAATGTGGGGAGTTCTTCTCAAGAAGCGACCCTCTAAAGAGAAAGGTAAAACACAGAGACGCTCTAAGAAAGGCCACTTTTCACTCATGAAAGCCACTTTAAGAAAAAGAAAAAAAAAAAAAAAAAAAAAAAAAACTTAAAAATATTCCCACCTCCAGACCGGCAGCCACTCAGCTTCTCGGTGCACACGGATGTCACTGATGTCATTAGCGTGCAGTGGCTGTGTCTCAGGCTGCAGCACTGCCCTGCCCTGCCCCTGTGTGTGTCATGTGCTGCATGAAACTGCACAGAGGACAGCTGTCCTCCCCCTGGAAGGAATTCTTTATGTAATTCTTCCAAGCCTGAGTTTACTTTGGAAGGAAACAGCTCTGGACAGGCACAAATACATATCCATGTCAATTTTGTAAGTGAGCTTAGAAACAGACATAAATATGAATAATTTATAAGTAAAATGAGAAATAACGCTGTACAGGGGAAAGCAGTGGAATACATAATGTATCACACAATTGCACAGTGCCACCGCACCCAGTGGTGCCAAAACCTTTAAAAAATTAGATCAGTTAATGACCTAGGACATACAGACAATAATTTGTCACTTTAAAACATCACAATAGGCATACAGAGTTTGTCCCTAGAGGTGTGTGTGTGTGTGTGTGTGTGTGTGTGTGTGTGTGTGTGTGAAAGAGTAAGAAAGAAAGAAAAGAGAGATACAGGGAGAGGAGAAAGGGAGAGTGCCCGGGACAAAGAGAGAGAAAGCAATTTAACATTAATGGTGGAGACAGATCCTCACCCACTGTGTAAGTCCACAGGTGACAAAATTGTGAGGGGAGGGTACTTTCCTTGTTTACACTTCCTTGTCCTCACTGATCCCTCTGCGTGGCCCTCCCCTCCCCAGTGGAAGCACAGGGACAGCACCAGTGAACCTGCTCCCAGAATGTCCAGTGGTGTGCGTGCGGGAGAGCACAGCCCACCATGGCACAGCTGCACAGGGTAGCACAGTGCTCCACCCACCCACCCTTGTCCTGTCTCTGGGACTGTTTTGGAGCCTCCTGGTGTCTAAAAGTGGACTGAAAGCAACCATACACTATGACTTCTGAACAATTTAGAGGTAAAGCACCTGGTATCCATATGCTCAAGTGCTACAGCCATTTCTTGTTTAAATGTGTATTTTCTTAGTTTTCCTTTATTGTGGTAAGAACACGCTGCGTGTCCCCCTCCTAACAAAGGCTTGGGGCAGTATCTAGTGTTGACTTCAGTGTGAGGCTCCTCAGCGTCTCTCTAGAACTTATCCTCCTCCGCTGAAATTTTGCTCCTGTTGATTAGTGATTTCCTGCTTCTCCTTCCATAGCTCCTGGGACACTGTTATTCCCTTTGTTTCCAGGAGTTTGACCTATTATGGGCTTCATATAATGCAATCATGTAATATGTGTCTTCCAGAATACTTAGTGTAATGTCCCTGGCATTCAGCCATTTTGTTGCAAATGGTGGGATTTCTGTGATTTTAAAGGGGTATACGGCATGGCCATATGTCTTATTTTCTCCCTCCATTCATTTCTTGGTGACACTTAGGTGGTTTCTGTATTTTGACAATCAGGATTGAAGTTACAGTAAACAAGTGAGGGATCCTGATTTCGAGCTTTTGCATCAACATCTAGAAATAGAAAGGCTAGGTCAGATGATTGTTCTATTTTTATTTATTTTGTGGACCTCTGTACTGTTTTCTCCTGTGACTGGGCCACTTTGCATCCCCCTGGCAGTGTTCAGTAAGTACTCCCATTGTTGCTGGCATGCTTAGATTTCATGAGCACAGACCATGGCACTGCACTGGCACTAGCAAAACATCTAGGTCCTCCTCAGTATCAGGTACTGGGGTGCCAAGCAATATTGTGATGCCCAAACTCAGAGAAAGTAATTGAGTAGCCCAAAGTCACAGGGCTGAAAAAATACGGGGGAACTTAGTTTCCCAGCTCTTCCAGATCCCCAACACTGCCTCTCTATCACATCCCATCAGTGCCACCAGGTCCATCCCTGGGCCTCATGTTCAGGGGTCCAGAGACTTTATGAATGGTAAAGTGCCCCCTAAACCCACATTGGGTCAGCAACTCAGTGCCCAGCTTTTGGGTAAGGGGGGAGAACAATAACAACAGCCACCTGAAAGTCTTCTCTTACACATGTGATGGAACTTAGATGGAAGTAAACAAAAGAGATGTCTGAGATTGTCTGCTCAGATCTCACAGTGTGGTGGGTCAGGAAAATGTAAGTCTGCAGGTCAAGGAACTCAGCTAATTTATTGGCTCAACTTTTCTGCAGATAGAGTTTTGGGTCACAAAAACATAAATTTATTGTCTCTTATGGTTTCCTTTCATTCTTGCCAGGACCATAGCCTTACATTGATACTGAACAAAGGCTTACTGCCTATAAGCATAGATACTGTGGTGTCCAGTTTTGCATGAACTTTATTGAATGCTAACCAATGTGGACACAGGAGTATAGTCAGATTTGTGTTCTTGATTGGTGGATAATGAAGGAAGTGTGTGTGTGTGTAGTTCTGGAATTTGAACTTGGGACTTTGCACTAAGTTATGTCTTCAATTCATTTTTACTTTTTATTTTGAGATACGATCTTTCTAAGTTGCTAAGTTTCTCAGGCTGGGCTTGAATTGTGTTTCCCCTGCATCCCTCTGCCAATACTTGTACCATTACTGGTTTTAAAGAAATTTAAGGAGCTTGGAGCAGAGAAAAGTAGGGGACTGATTGATGGTAGCTGGGAGTCTTGGCAGAAAGTCTGTCACACATAATGATCCACCAGGAACTTGTGAATAATCCTGGCTTCACCTGCAACTATTGAGAGTTTCCCTCACTTCTGACTGAGGTTTTGTAGACCCTGTTGTTACTCCTCAAGTTCTGCTCATCAATGACTTTTGGTTGCACCAAGCTCCCAAGGCATTTTAGATCTGGTTTGGGGATCCACATCTGTGTTCTGTGAATAGCTTGAACAGTATTGAGGAACAGGGAAGGTGCTGTTCTGTGACTTAGTTTCAGCCAGGAGCAAAGCAATCTCTGATTGGGATGAATGTCCATGGCTGTTCCAAATACATGGGGCAGCATCTTCTTGGGCTGCAGTAATGTATCAGAAGAGAATGCTAGGACCCTGGGAAGCCAACTGTGTGTTGTGAAGTCATAGGATGGGAAAGCCTTTGGGAACAGCCTTCCTCAGTGGTTATTTCTTTCCAGTTCTGGGTACATTTCACTCAGGGGACCCTTAGGTTGTTTCTATCTCTCTGGCACCCAGCTTTCCTTCTCAAGCATACAGCATCCCCCAGTACCTGTTTCAATCCTAGTGATACTTCTGATCAGTGGTCCTTGCGGTGTCAAGCACCAAGCCAGGTGGTTCTGTGGACATTGTCCTCTTTATTTCTCCCAGTGATTGTGTGTGTGTGGTGGAATATGGGATCATTACTCCTATCTCATAGAAACGAGCACTGAGCCTTGAAAATCATATGCACATTGGCTAGATTTGCTTCCATTCACAAAGATGCAGAAAGGACAAAGTTGTTTACAATACACTCTTGCTTGGTCAAAATACTAGCAAGCACCTATTGGGGGACAGGCACCTCGTTAAGGAACTGAAGAGGGAGAAAGAATGAGCCACATACTCTGAAGCATGTTGATAGTAATGTATGCTCATGGGAGTAAAGGAGGAGGAGAAGAGATGTGGATGGATAGCATCAGAACAAAGTCATTCCGAGCACCGTAAGTCTAACAGGGATGGAACCAATAACTGGTAGTAGTAATGCTTCCACCCAGCCCTACTTCTCATTAGAGAGGATTCTGCAATGACAGTTCTGCCTTCATAATGACATTGCTCTGATTCCAACAGGATGGACGCATCTTGTGTCATCCACATTTTAAGAGTGGGCCCTTTTTCACTTGAGCCAGGCACCTCCCTCAGTGTCTGTCTGGAAGAGGCAGGACCATTGTGAAAATGAGAGATAAGTAGAGTTCTTGAAAGTAGAATCAGGCTGCAGAGGTAAGTGAGGAAAAAAAGAGGAGCTTTGCTACATGTGAATTCTTTTCCCAGTGCTTCCCTTTCAGAGCAAGGGCCAGGGAAGAGCTTACTTATGCACAATATGCATATCCATTCAGTGTGTCCCCTCAAGGTTCATATGCTGAGCCCTGCTCACCATGATGACTGAATGAAGGTGAGAGATTTGGGAGTGATTAGACTATGAATTTGGAGTCCTTTAGTGCCCGGTGAAAAGAGGCGAGGAAAGTGTCTCAAGAGAGATCACCTCATCC